AGCCCCAGCCCCAGCCCCAGGGGGTGGTGAGGTCACCTCGCAAAAGACTTGCACTTTTCTCAGAACCAACACCATGCAACTCAGCAGGGGTGACGGCCACTGCCTCCTGGAAGCCCCGGCCTCCGCCCGGACGAGCCTCGCCTGACCCCTTCGGTGCTGACCTTCCCAAAGCGATGCCTTACTGGTTTTGTACTAACCGCGTTCATCCACGAGTGTTGTGCCTGCCTGGGGTTGTCTTTTTATTTTCCCCATCAGAGCAAACAGGGCTAAAAAGTCATCCACTCATTAGGAGAACTCAAGTTGCTGTGACTTTTATCTCATCCGAAAGACTCATCTGTGTGGGTGCGTGACCATGGGAAAAAGGGAAAAAAAAAAAAAAAAGATGCATTTTTTAGGTTCTTGTCAGTCTCCGGCTAACTACATGACGTTGCGGTACCTGCGTGCTGCTGCGTGTTCAACATGCTGGTCCCTCCTCACGGAGCGGGGTGTGTCTTTCAGCCGCCTGTTTCTGTTTTGTAAGGAGAGTCCGGGTTCCGCCCCAGTGCGGGGAGCCTCCGCTCACAGTCAGGGTCTTCATTCCATCTTTACGTTTCTGTTTCTGAAGGTCCACCTCTGCGCGTCTCCTCATCACCACAGGAGCTTGACCTGACATTGCGCACGCCGCTGGATGGCACCGTTTCCTTCCTCCTCGAAAGGGAGAAGGGGACGTGTCCCACTAACTGGCAAATGGGAAACCTCTCACCGCTCCCCGTTTGGATCTCTGTACACTCGGGCTCTGTTCCAAGCCTTCATCGGTCATCTGGGTGTGTGAGCGTGTCTTGTTCTGTTCTGTCTCTCATAGAATTTTTAAACCATACGTTTAGCCTGTGAGCACAGGCCAAACCCTGAGCCTTCTGGTAGACCCGAAGGGTGGTCCTTCTCAATGATCTCCCGGTGATGACCTTACGCTCATACTGTGAATTTGGGAGGGGGTAAAATTGACTTCCTCGTGGGCAGTTTTCCCAGTCACCTTGTGAACAGACACCTGCCAATGTTGTTTAAAACTTTTTTTTTTAAC